ATCAATAATTTTTTTGAAACTAATGAAAATAATGATACATCATACCAAAACTTGTGGGATACTGTGAAAGCATTATTAAGGGGGAAATTTATTGAATTAAATGCCTACCTCAGAAGAATGGAAAGATGGCAAGTGAAAAACCTAACACTGCACCTTAAAGATCTAGAAAAACAAGAGCAGTGCAAACCTAAAGTTAGCAGCTGGAAAGAAATCATCAAGATCAGAGCAGAACTTAATGAAATTGAAACCCAAAAAACAATACAAAAGATCAACGAATCAAAAAGTTGGTTTTTTGAAAAGATAAATAAAATTGACAAACCATTAGCATGGATAACAAAAAAAAGAAGAGAGAAGATTCAAATAACAAAAATTAGAAATGAAAAAGGTGATATTACAACTGATCCATCTGAAATACTAGGAATCATTAGAGACTACTATAAACATCTATACGCCAACAAGTTTGAAAATCTGGAGGAAATGGATAAATTTCTGGCCACACACAAGTTCCCAAAACTGAGCCATGAAGACATAGAAAATCTGAACAGACCAATAACAATAAAGGAGATTGAAGCTGTTATCAGAAAGCTTCCAACAAAGAAAATCCCAGGACCAGATGGATTTACAGCAGAATTTTACCAGACATTCAAAGAGGAATTGTCACTGATTCTTTACAAACTATTTCAAAAGATTGAAACAGAGGCAATTCTCCCGAACTCATTTCATGAAGCAAACATCATCCTGATACCAAAACCAGGTAAAGATATAACCAAGAAAGAAAACTACAGGCCAATATCCTTGATGAATATAGATGCAAAAATCCTCAATAAAATATTAGCAAACAGAATACAACAACACATATGTAAGATCATTCACCACGACCAAGTGGGATTCATCCCAGGGAAGCAAGGTTGGTTCAACATACGCAAATCAATAAATGTGATCCACCATATTAATAAAACCAAACACAAGGACCATATGATCATCTCTATTGATGCCGAAAAAGCATTTGATAAAATCCAACACTCATTCATGACAAAGACCCTTTATAAATTAGGCATAGACGGAAAATATCTCAGCATAATCAAAGCCATATACAATAAACCCACCACCAATATCATCCTGAATGGGGAAAAACTAAAAGCTTTTCCTTTAAAAACAGGAACCAGACAAGGATGCCCACTCTCACCACTCCTATTCAACACAGTATTGGAAGTATTAGCCAGAGCAATCAGAAAAGAGAAGGAAATAAAGGGCATCCAGATTGGAAAAGATGAAGTCAAACTGTCCCTGTTTGCAGACGATATGATCCTATATATCGAACAGCCCAAATCATCTACAAAAAAACTCTTAGAAGTGATAAATGAGTTCAGCACAGTAGCAGGATACAAAATCAACACACAAAAATCAGTAGCATTTCTATTCACCAATAGTGAACAAGCAGAAAGAGAAATCAAGAAAGCCTGCCCATTCACAATAGCCACCAAAAAAATAAAATACCTAGGAACTGAACTAACTAAGGATGTGAAAAATCTCTATAACGAGAACTACAAACCACTCCTGAGAGAAATTAGAGAGGATACAAAAAGATGGAAAGACATCCCATGCTCCTGGATTGGAAGAATCAATATAGTGAAAATGACTATACTACCCAAAGTAATATACAAATTCAATGCAATCCCCATCAAAATTCCAATGACATTTCTCTCAGAAATGGAAAGAACTATACAGTCATTTATCTGGAATAACAAAAGACCAAGAATAGCCAAAGCAACGCTGAGCAAAAAAAAATAAAGCTGAAGGTATTACTCTACCTGACTTTAAACTATACTACAAAGCCATAATAACCAAAACAGCATGGTACTGGTATAAAAACAGAGACACTGATCAATGGAATAGAATAGAATACCCAGAAATCAACCCACGCACTCACTGCCATTTGATCTTCGACAAAGGCACCAAGCCTATTCACTGGGGTCAGGACTCCCTCTTCAGCAAAGGGTGCTGGGATAACTGGATATCCATATGCAGGAGATTGAAACTAGACCCATACCTCTCACCATATACTAAAATCAACTCAAAATGGATCAAGGATTTAAATATACACCCCGAAACAATAAAACTTATTAAAGAAAACATAGGAGAAACCCTTCAGCAAATAGGGCTGGGCACAGACTTCATGAATATGTCCCCAAAAGCACGGGCAACCAAAGGAAAAATAAACAAATGGGACTATAACAAACTAAAAAGCTTCTGCACAGCAAAAGAAACAATTAACAGAGCTAAAAGACAACCAACAGAGTGGGAGAAAATATTTGCAAAATACACATCCAACAAAGGACTAATATCCAGAATATATAAAGAACTCAAACAACTTTACAAGAAAAAAACAAGCAACCCAATCAAAAAATGGGCAAAAGAACTAAGTAAGCATTTCTCTAAAGAAGATATGCAAATGGCCAACAGTCATATGAAAAAATGCTCAACATCACTCAGCATCCGGGAAATGCAAATCAAAACCACACTGAGATACCATCTCACCCCAGTTAGGATGGCCAAAATCCAAAAGACACTGAAAGATAAGTGCTGGGGAATAGAATAGAGAATCCAGAAATCAACCCACACACCTACAGCTATCTGATCTTTGACAAAGCACCAAGCCTATTCACTGGGGAAGAGACTACCTCTTTAGCAAATGGTGCTGGGAGAACTGGATATCCATATGCAGGAGAATGAAACTAGACCCATACCTTTCACTATACACTAAAGTCAACTCAAAATGAATTAAAGAATTAAATATACACCCTGAAACAATAAAACTTCTTAAAGAAAATGTAGGAGAGACAGTTCAGGAAATAGGTCTGGACACAAACTTCATGAAAAAGACCCCAAAAGCACAGGCAACCAAAGGAAAAATAAACAAATGGGATTATATCAAACTAAAGAGCTTCTGCACAGCAAATGAAACAATTAACAGAGTTAAAAGACAACCAACTGAGTGGGAGAAAATATTGGCAAAATACATATCTGACAAAGGACTAATATCCAGAATATATAAAGAACTCAAACAACTTTACAAGAAAAAAACAAGCAACCCAATCAAAAAATGGGCAAAAGAGCTAAGCAGGCATTTCTCTAAAGAAGATATACAAAAGGCCAACAGTCATATGAAAAAATGCTCAACATCACTCAGCATCCGGGAAATGCAAATCAAAACCACACTGAGATACCATCTCACCCCAGTTAGGATGGCAAAAATCCAAAAGACACCGAAAGATAAATGCTGGCATGGCTGCGGAGAAAAAGGAACTCTCTTACATTGTTGGTGGGAATGCACAATGGTGCAACCCCTATGGAAAATGGTTTGGAGGTTCCTCAAACAACTGAAGATAGATCTACCATACGA